GGAGCTTGCCTCTCACTGAAACCCACCTGGCCCTTAAATCCCCAGAACAGCCTCCCTTTCCAGCTGCAGGGCCTGGTCTGAGCCAACTTTGACTTCTTGGCACCTGAGACCCCAGGGAGAGATGACATTGGGTTTGTTTGGCAGGTTTCCTTGGCTAGGAAACGAGCGGGTGTGGATCAGTGCCTACACACCCTGCTGATGGCCACAGCAAGCTGGGTAGTCAAAGGACAGATCCTGGACAGGGGAGAGGAGGGGAGAGACTGACATGCCACGGATGGGGAGAAAGAGGCAGAGAGGTTGTGCATGGAAGGGAGGATAGAAAACAGATGGACATCACAGACAGGCACTTTAGACATTAGATTGGTCATTCTCAACTAGAGGACTGCAGCACCCCAGGGTGCCTTCATATCTTTTCAAGGGTGCCACGCAGTGTTAGCACTGATAGGCACGCAAACATGATTCACAACAGAAACTCAGAGATAGCCTACTAAAGAAGGGTGATTACGCCCAAAAGCTTGCAAAAAACTTTTTTTCCAACTACTTAGTAGGTCTAATAAAAGATATCCCATCTACCCAAAGAACCTGGTCCGCTGAGATTTCAAAGAGGAATCCAAGGTGTTAAAGACATTCGGACCTGGTGCAGGCTTTCCGAGTCCTTTGCAACTGAAGAATTGCTGTATTATTTCTACAGTAAAGAAAAGCCAAGTGAAAAACAGGAGCTGGCATTTTCTGAGCAGTGTCTTGAGCCTAACCAGGGTGCATTGAGTCTAAAAGGTTGGGAAACACTGGGTTAGATGCACATGCAGAGCCCCGCGCACTCAGCTCCGTAGATCAGAAAAACAATGAGGATATAGGAAGCTGAGAGGGAGATACAAAGATAAGGAGCGAATAGGGGGTGGATGGACTGATCGAAGGGGTGTGCACGAAGCTAGATAGAGCATGTTTGTAGAGCAGATGGATGAAGGATGTGCAGGGGGATAGACAGAAGCTCTCTAGGGGGATAGGTGGGGGGCTTGCTGGAGGATGGATGAATGTCAATGGGAGACCGGAGCCAGTGAACCCCTCTCCCAAAAGCTGCCTGGAGAAGCAAGCAACAGCAGAGGGACAGGGCATGGGGGGAGCCCCAATCTGTTGGTGATGACAGTGTGGCCAGAGCCAGAGCCTAAATTAGCATTAAGTGTTTCCATTGTGCGCCGCACAATGTGGACCATATGTCAGGGACTTGGCTGGCAGGCCCAGGAACAATGGGCACTGCAGCCGGCTGGGGGAGAGCGGCAGCATGTTCACACGTCCTTAACATGATTAATCTGTCCGTGCTCGCGGCCGGCTGTCTCCCCATGCACGCAAGGCCCAGGGGGTGGCAGTAGGGGCCCGGGCTGGAGAAACTGTGCCCTCCGTTGTGCTCGTGGGTCATCACGAGGTTTGTGTTTGAGGCTGGGATGCAGATCGGAGAGTCTGTGTGTACGGCAGGCTGCTCCCAGGCACCACAGGAGTTCGGGGGCAGAGGCCTCCCAGGCCCCAGGGCATCTGAGCAGGGAACAGGATGCCCCTTGAACCCCAATCCTTTTCCCAGACTCCCAGAAAAGACCCCAGAGCCCAGTTTGGGCTCCAAGCCCATGAGACTGGTCTTCCCCCAGAGCTGGGACCAGACCCTGCCTCCCCTCCCCTGCCCTGACCACGGTGCAGCAGCTCCCCTCTCAAACCCTGCATGCTTGCTCCAAGGTGGGTATTTCTGGGGTGCAATATTTCTGGGGTGCAGCCTTGCCTGTTCACACAAGGCGCCGCTCCCCTGGATGCAGGAGCATCCGGCCGTTCCTTTGCTCCCGATTTCTACACCTACCTTCCAGCCAGCTCTGGGCCCAAAAAACCTCTGCTCCCCTCCCTCGGAGCCACAACCCCGATTGCCCCTCTGGACATAGCTACAGCCAGGCAAGACCCAGGGCTCAGCCCCTTCCCTTGTCCCCCACAATCCTCCCCCTGGGCCCTGCTAGATTGCTCCCGGTTCTCTCACTCCACCCTTTGTCCCTGGCAGTGGTGAGGATGTTCCCTGGTGCAGGGGGCGGAGGTTCGGACCCTAGCTTGCTCTAACCACCAGACTTTGGTAGCGCAGCACAACAGTTTCATAGCCTGGACCTGGGAAACACCCCGCTGACCAATGTTTCATCCACGTGGCTAGGTTTCTAGAAGCCCTAGTGCTCTGGATGGCATCCCATAGCAGTGAGAGAGAAAACCTGTGTGCAGAGGGGGTTGTGCCCAGCTAGAGTGGATGCCGGACCACAGACGTGGCAGCTGTGACCTGACCCCAGGCTTTACTCCCAGGAGCTCTTCCAAGCTAAGCAGGCTCAGGTGGGACCACGACTTGGCCGAGGGATCTTCCCCTGGCTGCAGTTGTGCTGTGTAATGACCCAGCCTGGGCAGCTCAGAGGCTGGTTTTGGGCCAGCTGGATCAGCTGTTACCATGCACTCGCATGGGGCCTGGCACCGCGTGGTGCTCAAGCCGCAGCACCCTTTACCTTTGCATCCGCAGCCCCAGACAGTCTTCTCCCTGGGCACAGAGCTCCAAGCAGAGCCGGCCAGGCTCTGCATCCAGCAGGCACAGGCAAGCTTGCTTTCTTCCTCATAAAGTAAGGGATGATCGGACCCGTGGGCCTCATTTCCCACTGCTTCACACCCGAGGGTACAAGCCACTGCCAGGTGGGTCCCGTGACCTTGCAAGGGAGTGAATCTCATGCCCAGTTTGGGGGGAAAAACAAGGGGCTGGGCGGGGGAGCATGCTGCAGTCCGCACCAATCGTTCAGCTCTGCTCAGCCAAGAAGCAGCCGAGGCCAATCGATTATCTGAAGAAATTTGGAGCAAGCACCGAGCAGCTGCAACCAGCCCCCCCAGGGACCCCTGGTGATTGCTGGGCAGAAAAGGGAAAGGGGCAATAAATTCTCTCCCTTCTGGATGCTGCAAGGAAAGACGGGGGGGACACCAGTGGGTGTTGAGTTTGCAGATGGAAATAACTGGAGGGAGAGAAGAGCAGCAGCACGTAGCACCCAGGGACAGAGAACGGGAGACCCCCCAGCCTGGCTCCAGGGTGCTTTGCAGGAAGGGGAATCCCTTGGATCCCAAGCACCCCGCCAGGGGCCTCTGACCTGCACGTGCAAAGCTCCCAGGAGTGTGGAGGCACCTTGGCCTGGCTGAGTGCCTTGGTCCCACTCTGCTATTAATGCCCCTCCTGACTGCAGCACAGGGAGCCTCAGCTGAGCCCACAGCTGGGCCAGGGATGGGGGCCATTAACCCTGCCTTGCCTGGAGGAGCAAGGACAAGGAGGTCTTGCAGAGGGCCATGTCTGCAGGGGTCTGTGGGGAGAGGATCATTAAATGCCCTGGGGCAGGTCTGGGGAAATGAGGGGCCAATGCATGACGATATCAGCCCCTTTGGGTCCCCTATTTCCCAGCGTAGGTGTGTATCCCTGGGGCTGGTCCACATGAAAAACTGAGCACCTTGGATAGATGGAGGGGGAAGGTCTGGTCTTGCAAGTCCCACCACGATGCCCACAGAGCTGGGTCTGCCGGTGACCCCCAGCTCATTCCCCACTGGGAAGGCACAGCTCCAGGGCAGAAATGCAGGGCACGATGCTCTTGCTGCCCAAGACCCCTGGCACACCCCTGCCCAAGGCCTCCAGCTCGCCCCGTGCGACGAGAGGCAGAGCCCTGACCCCCGCAGCAGTCGGGCCACGTGCCGGAGCATGAGATTTGATTACGCCCGGTCTTAACATCCCTCAATTACACTCATGAAATGACCCAGCTGCCACCAAAGAACGAGGACGGGGGAATGGAGGAGTAGGAAGGAGAAGGAAAGTGGCTCATTTCCAAATCCAAGGGCTCGGGCTGTGGCTCCGGCATGGTTTAATTTCATTTCCCGCTCCCAGCTTCCGTATGAAACCCTCCGTAACAAACCCTCACGCGTTCCCAACAGCCGACAAGCCCTCGGGGCCTGGGAGGTCCACAAGGCTGGCTTCTCCCTTGGCGGGGGCTGGTTTGTTGTGGTGGTTTTCTCTCTTCTGCTAAAAAAAAAGTGCACAACACTGCAAAGAAACAGCAACGGGATTGATGGATTGACGTGGTAGGGATCCTCGTGGCACAGAGTCGTGGCGGGGAGGCCTGGCTGGCTCTGCTCTGCCCTGTCTGTGTGTCTGTCTGTCTGCCTGTTGCTCCAGCTGAGCCACGCGGGGGTGGGAAATCCTCCTCCGTTTGCCACGGCCGTCTCTCTCTGCCACTTCTCTCCTCCCAGGGATCTCCGAGCGTGCTGTGGACATTCACGGACGAGTCTTCGCAATACAGAGGTAGGTATCATTCTCCCTGCTTTTACGGGAGGGGAAACTGAGGTACAGAGAGGGGGGAAAAGGGGGCACCCCTACCCCCCTGGGCGAGTCAGCGGCAGGGAGGGGATAGGACCCAGGAGTACTGGTAAGAGCTAAATGTTGGAGAAAACTCTTGCAGTTGGTTTTTTGTCTCTTGACTTTCAGCTGAAACCCCAAACAGACGGGAGAAGCTGAGGGCTGTGAGCAAAGCCCTGGACAGACCAGCGAACAGACACACGCCAACAGGCAGAGGCTTTTGGGGTACGTGATGGGATAGAGAGACAGACAGACAGAGGGAGTGAGCACGTGGGGGTGGATGGATGGACACGGCATCAACCATTCATGGGTTGTGCAGGGTCCAATGCAGGCGAACAGACGGCTGTTGGCTTGGGAGCTCTGACATCCCGAGGTGCACACGGACTGGGGAGCTCAGATGTCATAAAATCATAGAAAATGTCCAGGACATCATTCAGGTAGCAGATACAGCAGGCAGACAGACAGACAGACCCAGGCTCGGAGGCTCAGACCCGCGTGCACTCTGTTCAGGTGGGACATACAGCAGATGGATGGATAGATGGATGGATGGATGGATGGATGCTCTGTTGCATGGATGGATGGAGAGATGGAGGGCAGGGGCCAGGTGGCTCAGATGTCCAGCACGTGCTTCAGGTCGGGTAGTCAGCGGGCAGATGGACGGATGGAGGGCATAGTGGGGCGGTCAGACGTCCAGCACGTGGTTCAGGTAGGAGATGTAGCAGATGGCCAGGCGGAGGATCTCAATCTTGGAGAGCTTCTTGTCCGGTGGCAGCGTGGGCAGCAGCTTGCGCAGCTCGGCGAAGGCCATGTTGAAGGCCTCCACGCGGATGCGCTCCCGCGTGGCGTGGGCTGTGCGGTACTTGGCCGTGGCCCGGCGCCGCCGCCGGCGCTCCTCCCGGCTCAGGTGCTGCAGGTCCTTTTTCAGCGCCTCACCCGGCTCTGCCACACGGGACTGGCCACACAGGCCGACGCTGCCGGCGTCTTCGGGGCCCCCCCCGCGGCCGCCCACCCCCCCGCAGTCACTGAAGACCGACTCTGTCTCCGAGTGCGTCGGGGGCAGGTCGATCTCGGTCTGGTCTGAGTTCAGCATCATCTTGGAATAAGAGGGACGGATGGATGGATGGACAGAGAGATGGACAGAGTGTACGAGGATAGAGAGGTAAACAGAAAGACAGGTAGATGGACAAACACACAGACAGACAGCTAGATAGATATGGTAGGCAAATGGATAGATGAATAAATAGATATAGGGAGGATTACACAGTGAAATCGCTTTCTATTTCCTATAAAGCTCCTCCAATTTACATCGTCATCACCATCATGAGGAAAGGAACGGATGGGGGGAATAAATAAGTAATAGTAATAATAATAATAATAGTAATAATAATAATAAATAATAATAATCTTTCCAAAGTGGGTTTCAAAGCTGCTCCCTTTCTCAGGAGAATCAGCGATGCCAGCAAACCATCTTCCCAATAAATATTTTAAATAAATTTTCAATAAATATATAAATTAAATAAATAAATAAATAAATAAAGCTCTCCTCTGTGCGTGGGTGTGCATGCACACGTGTGTGAGTGTGAGATTGTGTGTGGGGGGGAGGGGGGGTGTTGGGGGACAGATTGGAGAATCTTTCTTCCCGTTGCTGCCGGGAGCTGGTTTTACTCTTCAGACGTCAGTCTCTGGAAGTTCCTCCCAGGTGCTCTAGAAAACAGAAACAAGCAGCTTCTCAGTAACTTTTTGCTCCCCAGGGAAGAAAGGGAGAAAGAACAAGTGAAAGGAAGAGAAAGGGAAGAAAAAGAAGAAAAAGGGAAGTTTTGGGGGGCGCTCTCTCTTATGGGGTGGAATAAAGTCAGACCAGCTTTCGAAAGCAAGCAATTCTTCCAGGAGACGGGTGAAAGAAAGCAATGAATAGGAAAGAAAGTGTGCGAGAGAAATAAAACACAGGGTCCAAGATGGGTGGATGCAAGAATAAATGAGAGAGAAAACCAAAACGCACTTCCTCTGTCCTGGAAATGGAAGCCCTTTGCGGCTTGGCTCCCGGCAGAGCACGGGCCCAGCTCAGCACACCCACCGTGCAGCCCCAGGCCCTGCAGCACCCAGGGGCGCTGGGCACGGCCAGACGAGGTGACTGTGGAAGTCGATGGGAGCCATTTCTCCCGGGCTCTCTGGAGAGATGACAGGTGGCGGATGAGTGAAGGGGAAAGACAGACTGCGGGAGCGGGGGGAGCTTATTGTATATTAAATGAGCCCGTATGTCATGGATTCTGGCACCCCAGACATATGGAACCCAACACAGCTGCTTTGCTTGACGTGTCCAAATAGAAACTGGCTCCCTGCTCCCTCTGGGATGTTGCACGCAGGCGGGGAAGGCTGTCTTGCCATCTCCCTTCCCTCCCCCTGCCTTGGCCAAATACTCTGGAGCCCAGGTCGCAAACAGATGCTTCCAAAGCAACGGGGGGAAGAGAAGGGGGTGCAGGTCTGGGCTGGGGAAGGCTCGACTCTACCCCCCAGCTAGATTGGCACACAGCAGGGGCAGGGACAGAGCCCGCAGGGAAAGGGGGGCAGTGTTTGGAATAGGGGGAAAAAGGAAGAAATCAGCACTAAGGTCACAATCTGGGGCTGTAAATAAGACAGGCTACTAGAGAGATGGACAGACAGCATGACAAGTTCTTTGTAATGAATGACACTACTTCGAGCAATCGAAGCAGACCGGGTATAAGGGCATGGAAATGAAAGCAACCATCTCTGTCCCCCTTGAAAGGGCCTGTCAGGCACCGAACTGTCCCCAGGGCTTTGCAGAGATAAACCTGGAGACATACTTAAGGGAACTTACCTGCACGTACACAGAGAAACAGCCCCCCCCCCCAGCACACATTAATGCACAAGAAATCCCACATGTCCGCACCGCCATTCACCCATGTGCTCTCACACATGCACACACAGGTCACGCACAACAGACACCTCGACACGCCGAAAGCCGTTGGTGCACAAACACCTGTCAGAGCAATTCATTTCCTTGCACCCCTGCGAACATGCAGCAATTGCCCCCACGCACATTCATGCACACGCAGAAATTCACACAATAGTGAACCTAACGCCCAAACGCAGAGAAGCGCAAAGGGACAAAAACCTGCTCCATGTCACACAATATTTGGAAGAAGCCGAAAGACAGGCAACTAAGAAAGTCTGCAAAATATGGTCCTAAAATTGCCACAGTTGAAACACATGGCATGTTTTAATTAAAAAAAAAATCCCAACCCAGGCCCTTAATGAAGTTATTTCAGCAAAGCCCAAAGGTCCCGTGAGAGCAAAGGGGTCGGCAGCTTGCTCCAATATTTCTTTCCCTCTCTAAAGTCTAAGCCCTGAAATGACTGGGCTCAGAGCTGTGCTGCATTCGGGCTGGGGTTGAACCTACTTCCCTGGCAGCAAGGTTCAGAGGTTAAGTCAGGCCCTGATTGACCAAAGCGCTTGCACATGGGTTTAAAGGTACCTGAATGTGCAAGTGCAAGTGCCCCAACTTGCATAATGACTCAGTGCATGTCTTATCCAACTTCCTGGCTCTCTCCCCCGCTTCTGCTTCCCTTGCTCCTTTCCCCTTTTTCTCTCTCCTCTGTTGACCCACAAATGTTCCCATCTAACCAGGATCTCCCTTCTCCCACTGTCCTTCCTTCGGGACATCCTGGCCCAGAACAAACATCAGTTGTGCAGATCTGGCCCCGGCAGTGATATTGCTGGACAGCTTGTTTCTTTGTGGAATGGGTATTTCTTTCAGGTAGGGCAGGTGCTGTGCACACAGAAGTCCCTGCCCCAAGAAGATTGCAGTCTGCTCTGCCTGGAGCCACCTCTGGAAAGGTGCTCCCAGTGGCGGACGTGCCAGGCACTGTGGACTGCAAACGGGGCACTGCTACATTTAGAAGAAGCTGGCTCCTTCCTGCTCCTGAGATCCCTGCAGTCAGGCCGGGCAGAGCAGGCTTCCCCCAGGCACTGGGGACTCGCACCAGGGAGGCTCTTCTGTTACCTCCTTGCACCCCTGCAGATTTGAATCCAGTGCCGGGGGGGAACGGACACGTGCATGAGTAAGTGCGTGCCTATGAAGTTTATTTCCTACCTATGGGGACTTTTTACTATCTTGTACCATCTACACTTTTCCCAGAGCCTGACAAAGGGACTTGGATCCAAAAAGCTTGCAGAAAAGGACAATTTTCTTGCCATTTTCCAGTTGGTCTAATAAAAGGTGTCATTTTGGAACCAAGAGTTCTAGTTTTTTGTATGTCTTTTTGCCTAGGTGTCTGGCTCTTTCTAACCCCAACCCTTTCTCCCAAATGTCATGGGTTGCATTTGCTTCCAGGGATGTGCTTCACTGCTCCGGTGGTAGGCGAGTGGCGCAGAACCGAAAGCAATGGGCCCAATTCTGCGCCTCGTGCATCACTTCCATTGCTGCAAAGTGCAAGGCATGATGTGGCCTGACCTGGACAGGGAGTCCCTGGCTTTGCACTAGTGGGCATGGCCTGCTGGAGTTACCTGGAGCAGGGCCCTGATGCTCTTGGATCTGGGCGAGGACACAAACAATTGCTTGACAAAACCGGGCCCCTGGGAGATGATTCATGGAAGGAGGTGGAGGGGGAACAAGAGTACTGCAGGCTGGGGGAGGTTCTACTATCTCTCCAAGGCAATCACCAGCAGCATTATATGGGGAACATGGTCCCTGCACAGCCCCGTTGCTAGGCGGGAACTGTCTGCATGAACGCCGTGCTGCGCAGAATAAAGTTTATGCACACCTAGTGTGTCAGACAAGCCTGGGCCCTTGCTGTGACACCTCTGTCCCTGTGAGCGAGGCAGGGAGCAGCCGGGGCATTTTCAATACAAGAAGGGCAAGGGTTGTGTGTTAGACCCCATGGTCAGTGCTGGGACCCTGACACACATGGAAGATAACAGGATGCACCAGATCTCTCATGTGGGTATAGCTCAGCCTCCCCCCGAGGCCTCTTTCCTTCCTTCTGTCTGCCACCCGCAGTTTCTTTACAGCAGTGACTTACTTTCGCTTTTGGTAAATTTTCACTTTTCCCTCAAAAAGAAATGCAGAGTGCCTTGTCTGTCATTATGCCTGTTGGGGGGGGGGGGGGGGGGTCTCAGCTAAGCAGCCCTTCACTTGATCATCTGCCCACGGCCTGGGTGGTGCCTTTAGAGGGCATTAAAAGAAACACAAGCAAACTGAAGGCAGGGGTTTGTGCGTGTGCCCGGGTGTATGAATGCATAGACACCCCTTTTTTTTGCACCAGAGCTTAGTCCCACCAGGAAAAGCAGGACAAGTTTGGAAGGACGGCAGATACCTGAAAAGGCAAAGCAGCGGGTCCAGGCTCGGGACCTGCTTTGGAGTATGCAGGGATGAACTTGCGTATCTTTTTAGCCGCGTTCACACCAAACAGCTTCTCCCAAGTGAAGTAAGGGCATGTGTGTGTGCACAGCGTCAATCCCCCATCCCAATGGGTCTTTTTGTAGCTAGAAATGGGCTGAGAGGAATCAACCTATCTGTCAGTCCATCCATCCAAATAATATGCTGATGCATCTACCTCTCTGTCCATCCATCTGTCCATCCAAATAACATGCTGATCTGCCTAGAAACCTACCTCTCCATTCATCTACCCAGATAATACGCTGAACTATCCATCCATCCATCTACTTCTGTAACGTCCCACTGGAGCCAGGTATGCGGCAATGGGTACCACAACCTACAGATGCATGGCTGGCACCCGGCTCTGCCCAGACCCAAGACACACCTTACCCCTCACCAGACGACATCCCCGAGCCCCGAAGCTCCTCTGGCTTCTCTCTCCTTGCAGGACGGAGGTCGAATAATCCAGGCACGAGGGGCTGCTTGGCTCCTCCGCTCATGTGTGGGTCCGAAAGTTTCCCGTGGAGAGCTCAGACACCTGCTCTGACCGGCGGGCCCGCGGGGAGGAGCAGGGCTGTCATGGGGGCCCAGGCTGGTATCCCCCTGTGCCGAAGGGTGAGTGGGCCTCTGGGCATTGATACGCACACACCTGGCAGCATGTGCCCGGCACACTATATATACACACTCAGCCTCGCACG